CATCAAGCGCTACCAGCCTTCTTCGTCGTCAAGGTCCTTATTCTAGGCATGGCGCTGCCAGGGTCGCTATTCACAAGACCCTGGCTTGAATCCTTACAGCTGCGATATCAAAGTATTCGCGCAACAGCGTCCAGTTGCCTGCTTCAGGAACCCTGCCCAATACTTACATGTTTGAAAGTTGTCCCTCCACGCGTGCTAAACGGGGATCCTGCATATAGGGGGACAGGGATGGCAAGCCATGTCCCGAGACCAAAAAACAGCACTGGCCGAGGTATGTCCAGTTTGATGCCATGGACCTGACAGAATCAACATTGGCCAGATTGGCATTGCAGCTTCCCAAGATCAGGCACAGACTGGGATACATGGAAATAGGGAAAAACAGAGTCTCTTTGCGCATGCCCCAGCCGGGAAAAGGTGGTTTGGGGTCTATGGAACCATCCAAATGGCGAACAAATCTTTGTGTAACCCAGAAACAGACAATACTCCCCCCATGTGTACAACTGTTTATTCCATATCCGAGGAACATGCCTGAGCGGAACCAAACACATGATGTGTGGGTGCTCAGGGTAGAATGGGCAAATTCCAGGACGATGTCGAGATATTGGGCAAATTCCAGGTTCACTTCGAGAGAAGGTTTTGACTGGATGAGAAGTGGCAAACAGGCCCCCGTGAACCTTGCATTGCGCGACCTGACAGTCTGTCGACGTAGTACGAGAGAAACCGCACGTGACAAGGTCTCCACGATCACCCTTGACGCAAAGACCACTTAAGGCGTTCGAGTTGTTTCAGATCACCTGGCCCATCAACCAAGGTTTCAGATACGCCGCGCCTCGAAGGTGTTGTCAAGCACATCCCAAATGCGTCGGCTTTCTCGCACACGTGCCTTCCCCACGGACAAGCAGACTGCTATCAGTTTCCCGGTGACTTTTTGGGGAAGGCTTCCCGAAGTGTCTTGGCGACAGTCCTTTTGCATTTGAGAAGTCGTGGATGATCAAAATCAAAAAATAATAATCCAGTTTGGTTTGTGCCAACACTAACTATCGACTTGAACAAGAGGCACCCCGGGGCTTCTTGAAAAACCGACGAAATCCTGGGGGCAGAAAGCTGCTCAACGGGCTTCTAAGACTTGAGCCACTCACAACTCAAACTTGGTCAAGTTGCTTGGGGCAAGATCATACAATATCAAATGCCACCCCTGGAGCACAACAAACAGTCCAAGCACAGGAGGCTGCAACTCAAGGGAGCAGAGGAGGCGCAGCACTCTGAGGCGCAACCCTCCATGGCATAAGCCACTCATCTCACGCAAGTGGGTCCGTTCAAGAGCCAAACTCGCCCGAACCTGGGTCACACGACTTATTCCTCCCTGGTTTCAGGCTGTATCCCGAAGGCACTCTCCGAGAATCCGACAACAGCCGGCGAGTTGGACACAAGAAACGCAGCCGTTCCTGCTCCTGCCTGCTACGCCTGCCGGAATTTCCAAGGGGCACGGGGGCTTGTACCGCTCGCTGATTCCCAGATAGCCCCCTTAGTTTGAATCCGCTCACACAAGGGGGATGCGGGACACAGTTTGCTAAAAAGTTTGGGGTGTTCGATTCACCCCGGGCCGCCTACCAGTATCCTCAGCATCGCTTTTCCATCCACATCACCGGGCCGGCACCGCCAGCATCACCAGAATGACTTGGCTGGGACACATGAGCAAGCAGGGAAAATCGAAAGGCCCCTACTTGTGCCTACTGTGGCTTGTGGGTCCGTTTCCAAAAGGGATACCGTGGAACTTGCGAACAACACAGCTACATGCATCCCCACCGCGGGACAAGAGAATGCGCAAACGGACAAGTCCTGCGGCAAACAAAAGACAAGGACAAGCAGCATCAACAGGCGAGAGACTGATGGCATCAGCAGCACCGCCATGTCGAAACCGTCCAAAATCCAAAAACAATACCAGAGGAAGTTGAAAGCAGAAAACGGCAGGCATCCCCTAGCTAGGGAAAAGAACACGAACAAACGGAGGCAGACCAAATGTCCCTACTCAAGTCCTGCAACAGAAGCGAAAAACAAAGAAAAACGCGTCGCAGCACAGAACTTGATTGCAGCAGTAGCACCCCCCATCCAGGCATCCCCTAGCGGCCCTAGCTACGGAAAACCACAACTCAACTACAGCAATTAGTAGTTTGCATTGATGGTTTGGAGGCCAAGGGGTGGTTTCCCATTTGCCCACCAGGCGGTCAAATCCCCAGCCACAAATCCAAACCGCAAAGTAAGGGCTCCGAAACCACCAATCCAAACTACCAACTAGGGGCTACAGAATCAGCAGAACAAAGCCTGAGTGCACCGGTAGCACCCCGTCCACAGCACGCGCTGCCCGTGTAAACACGCACGTGAGAAAACGGATCGCCCCTACACCCATCTCCACTCATTGCACGCCGCCGTGGGTGATAACTTCCTATCATGCAAGAAGGCAGGCCTGTAACGTCGGCGGGCTCGAGACGCTAGAGTCCAGCTGCGCTACTCGCAAGCGAGCTTTAGCCAGCGTCAGGAGCCTTAGCCCAATGCTACTAGTACCAGGCCAGCCGCCGGACGACATCATCAGCATCCCGGCCCACTACCAAAAACCGCTTGTTTGGCATCATTGAGGTTGTCCTGGGGTTGGCTGCAGCCCGTGGGTCGCTGCCAAGACACGCCAAAAAGACGGGACAAGCTGGCGGTTCTGATCTTGGGCGGGAGTCCAAGCTCGTGATGCAGGTGACGCGGCGGTGGCAAAACACCGCAGGTTCTGCCTCATCCACAACGTGGCGCTTTCCAGGGCAGGCACTTTGTTTTTTGTTTTCTCTCTCTCTCTCTCTCTCTCTTTAGGCTTTCGGGGTGCGGACGATGCTGGTGCCGAAACCTGCATTTTGGTGCCATGAGTGCTGGGGATGCAGCCAGCCGAGTTCTCTGCTGCCCAAGTGCCGGTGCAGCTTGGGGCCCATACTTCATTTCAACGGCTGCTGTTCCAAAAGCTGCCACTTCATTTCAAAGGCTGTTTTTCTGCCTCCACGCCTGTCTGGGCCAAAGGATGCGCTCCAAAGCTGCGACGCTCCGATCCCATCCGCCTCGATCTCCCTTCGCGCCAGCTCCTCGACCGCCATGACGCTTCGCTCCAACACCTGGCGCTTCTCCGAGCCAAGAGACTTCCGCCAGGGGCGTGGGTAGCTTTGTACTTTGGTCGATCCGATGCCGTTCGGCCAGTACCCGAATCAGCTTCTGCTTGCTTGGCGTCAGTAAAGTTCTTTGCATGCTCATAAACATCTTAGATGAATAGGGCACGCGATCGGGGGCAAAATCGAATACATTAGAATAAATTCTGCCTCATCGCCGCATTCTTGAATCGGTTTTCCGGCGGAAACCTCGGGAGTGACCTTGCCTCGCGGCCCGAAAGACACATGCTGAATTAACTTTCTTGAGCTTGTAGAACGGTTTCAAGTACTGGCGGGCCCTGGCGGCAAGGGGACCCAAACACGCGGAATTATCATTTTCCAACGCTCCAAAAGCTGTCTGAGCATTCTAAGTGGCTTGCCGGCGCCAGCCCTCAGAAATGCAACCGGCTGCTCCGCAAGCTGGGGGCCCCAAACACACGAATTTCACTGTCTTGATCAAAAGATATCAAAAGATTGCTTTGGGCACTCTTGGTCGCTTTCCGCATTGGGTATCACAGGACGACAACACGGGAAGGCTACGGCAAGACGGATGGACTACAAGACAACGGGAAGACCATGGGAGGAAAGCAAGCCTACGGCAAACAAGGAAACACATTTAAACATTTAGCCCTCTCGAAGATTCATCTGCAGCCACAGACAGCTGCTTTGGAGGCCCAGGCCCAGTGTTGCTTTGGTATGCTATGGGGCCCTCTCCCAACGTGCCTCGTCGCTCCGAATTCGCCAAATCACACTCGTTAAGATCGTTTGCTCCTGATATCCGAAACAGCATTTGGCTCTGCATTCAGTTTGGCCCAGACTCCGTCTGTGCATCTAACGATTTTGCAGTGCCTGTCAGTTGCCGGCTCCTCCGATACGATTCGGATCAGCCTCAATAGTGTTGGGCATCCTTTCTCAAATTACGGAACCATCTGGTCGTCTGGTTCTGTGTGCGCTTTTACACATGGTAACTTATCGTCATGTTGTCAGACAGCCTGCAGTGTCTTCACCGGGGCGTGGGCGCATCGCCCATCAAGACCCCTTGGGCGTGGGCACATATAGCTGATGGCTGATGTCATAGCTGGCGTTCGCTGTGTTGAAGATCATGTCCAACAAGCTATCATGACAAGGTTGGACAGCACTCAGAGCTGTAAGACACTTTGCCAACGAGCAACCTTAAAGCTCTCCGTGTGGGTCATGGCTCCCTGAAGCAGAATCTTTGCCATGGTCTGTTAAAAGTCTGGCATCCGAAACACTTTGCCAAGCAGCAGTCAGTTGGAATTCCCACCCTTGAACAAGCGACGGTTGCTTCTTACATGGCTGAAGCGCATGGGGAAGAACAAGCAGATATAAGATTGCATGCTTCTAGGTCCAAAAAGCGAAGAAACACTACTGTCACACAGCTGCGTGCAAATACGGCCCTCCGCAAACATCCGTGGCACTTGCTTAGGTTCTGCTTTGAGTGAAGTCAGGCCCATTTAGATATTCGATGTATCTGGCTTGCCCATCACGACACACAAATTCATGAATGCCTGCCATCGTTCAAAATCTTCACAAAAAGGGTCTTAAGTGTCTTCTGAGCAGAGTGTGCCACTTGCTCAATGCGTAAGCTCCCTCCCTTTTGGTTCATTCAAGACAGCCATCCACTGACAAAAAAAAAGGGGCCTCCTTGAAAAGGCCCCTTTTCGCTGGCTTTCTCAAACGGGAACCCAGCCGCCAATGGCCCATTGGGGTACTTTCTCCTCATGGGAATCAACTACACCTGGGCTGCCCTCAGATCGCCTGCTACAAGTCGGCAACTTCTGGTGGGCTAAATGGACACCCAACCACTAAACCCGCCAAAAAGCCAAAAATGCACAGGAAGCGGCTGGGAGAAGAAACAGGGATCCAATATGGGTCGATATTCCTGGTTGGGAAAAACCAAGGACAACCTGCGGTCCAATTGGTGGTTCAATTTGGACCCGAACCCATTTGCCACGGGCCAGACTCGCCTGCACCCAGCGAATCGATTCGATCAGTCGATCATTCGATCGAATCGCACCGTGAGGCGCTCTGCCCCGCGGCGCTGCTGCTGCAAGAAGGCGCTGAGCTCACGGCCTAGATGGACTCGTGGCTATTTCGGGGTTGATCGACAGGTACATGGGCCCATTGGGGGGAACCACGCCAAAAATGTGTTTCCCCCCTAACTGGGACAAATGAACCCTGGTTCAACCAAGCAGGCCGTCATTGGAACAATCGGGGGAGACATCCAGGTAGGTGGCCTCTTGTTGGTTTTATTTTAAACCCATCAAACAAAACTCGAGAAACGCCCCATGTCAGCGCCATATGTAACTAACTGGCTGGAGGGTCGCAACGCTCCAAGGCTGCGACGCTGCAGTTCGCGCGCCGCCCGCTCGCTTTCCAGCTGCTCCTCAGAATCAGAAGCCCAGCCATGCCCGTTGCGCCTGGGAAAGCTAAAGTCTGGTTCTGGTCAGCAAAGGTCAGCATAAATATGTCAGCATCCAGCGCAAAAGAGGCTGACACAAGTAAACAGAAAAAGACCACTTCGAACCATCCCCACTGAAATGCCGGCACTTTTCTCGCCAATCTGCGCATTGTCGGATCTTGCCGTTTTCCAAGCTTTTCTGGCTTTTTTTCCGACTCCAGCCATTCTGGTTTCCCATTTGTTTGCGCCCAGATTTCCGAGTTGTTTTGAAGATTTCCAGCTCCGCCCCAATTTCGCCAAGTCTTTCTGCTCAGTTTTGCCGAGTCTGGCCCACACAGGCCCCGAGAAGACACGACTTGGACCTGCGCGTATCTGGCCCCACACAGACACACTCAAACCGGACAGACCCGGACGCCACTTCATTCAGACCCGGACCTTCGCGCATCTGGCCCCAGACTCGGACCTTTGCGGATCCGTGTCTGACTGGCGGGCATGGCCCCACACAAACCTGCGCATATCCGACCGGCTCTGGTGTATCTGCTACTGACTGTGTCTGATTTGTCATCCGCGTCTGACTGGCTAGTTGATCTGAATCTGACTGACTCTGTCATCTGTGTTTGACTGGCTATTGTATCTGCTGCATCTGTACCGGATTGACACACTGACTCTGGCATCTGTCATCCGCGCCTTTCCTAGTGCAGGCTTGCAGGCGGATCTTCGGCAAATCTACCAACCCCCATCTGACCGAGGAACAAACACAAAATGCGCAAGCCAAACAAGCCAAACAAACCAATGCAACGAAACCTAGACAAAATCCATCCAGGAAACCTTCAGCTTCCCCCCGAAAGATAGGTTGGATTGGTGGTTTGGGATTTGAACCCCAGTTCCTTTTGCAACCAAATGGGGAAGGTGGCCCCGAACGTCCAAACCACCAACCCAAACCACAAAAAAAAAGGAAGCTGACATCCTACTTCTGAATGGACCGCTCCTTCAGCGCCTGTTCCTTGAGCTCGCGTAGCTCCTTCTCGGAGCTCAGCCGTCCCTCGCACGGCACTCAAAAAAACCGGCGACTCCGATGGCGCCGTGCCGCTGAAAAATCAGTGCCTCGGGCGGTTCCTTCTCAAACAACAGCAAAACAAAAGAGAGAAACCACCCTTGGGTGGATTGGCCAAAGCTTTTAGTCCTCCCAAAAAGTAGAGAGTTCGAGAACTCAGGGAGGGAGTGAATGCAAAAAAGGGACCGCACCCTTATGTGACACCAAACAGAAAAGAAAACACTCGTTTAGCGGCTGCCCAGTCCTTTCTATCCAGAAAGTACCTCGTCCTGGTGCAAGGGGGTATCACCAGTTAGTTGGCTTGGTATAAGGACGATGTCAAGATGAACATGGCGTGGTTTGATTCCGGCAGGTAGCAAAGACCACCAGGCCGTTGAATGCAGGCGCACTTGTTTGCATTGGTTGCATGAGCGCGAGGGGACCGCGATTCGATGACCTGCTTCCAGCGCCTGCTTTGGGGTTGTAAAAAGCACTTCAAGTTGACATGGCTGTCCTGATTCTCGGCCTGACCTGTTGAGACCCATTTCCAAACAGACAATCTCTTCAGCGGGCCCCGGGATTCTCCAAGTAAGCACTGCCAGCAAACTTTTCCCTGACCTTCAGTGGCCATGGAAAAAGAGAGCACCCATTTTTGGGTAGCTCCGCCACATTGCTCAAGACCCGCCCCCGCCCCCCCCCCCCCAAATGGAGTGAGTGGAGAACAAATCCCGGCCGAAGCCACAAATCAGGCCTTCCAGCTTAGGGGAGCGTAGTTGATAGTTGGTATAGTTGACGTTGGAATCCCTTGCCAAAAAAATATGGGGTTGCCAGTAAAAAAGCGTCCCCGCCTCAAGCTCACCCCCCTGGGC